ATATATATATATCTTTTCGTTATCGTGTATATTTTTGAAGAAATACGTAAAAAATATTGCATATTTTGCTCATCCAATTCTGTTCTTTTTATACTTTTATCGAATCGAGACTCATAATGCAGATTAATTTGTTATATTAGAGATTAGAATATCTTTATTTCCTAGGTTCCCTCGTTCACTGAGGATTGCTGTTACATGATTTAATTTTGTGCTGTAAAATAAGTCCTGTAAAATGACTGTGACTGTTAATCAGCTTATATGTATTAAATTATGTTGCAGGTCTGTTACAGTACTTGTGAATAACGCTCGCTTAATAGAGTTGAATGGCTTTATTGTTGTTAGTTCATACATAGTATAAATGTTTGGTTCTTTCATTGTTTTTAGAAAGAGAGCTGGGACGATCATCGGTATTTGTTGTAACTTGGCGTGCCTTTTATCAGCTCTTTTGGCTCCATTCATGCCAAATACTACGCGCGAATTAAGATTACAATTAGGATTGGACAGCAGTAATTACGGTTATATCCCTGATTACATCTCGAACATACTCCCAACGGGACACAAAATTGGTAAACCATCTCCTCTGTTTAAAAAGATTGAAGACAAAGATGTAGAAGCGTTAAGGAAAAAATATTCCGGCAAGCAAGACACTACAAATAACGGTGAACGCCGTGATGCCAAATCTTTGGACAACGCAATTGCAGAACTGGTTGGTTATTTTCTAAAGTAACAATACAGAAGGTCGATAGAATGTGGAGGAACATTACCGTTTTTTAATTACAGGATAAAAAAGTTAAGGAACTAAAAGACAAACACGATAAAAGCGGATGGCAGGCCAACCAAGTTCAAATTTTCTCAGATTTAAAGAAAAAGCTTTCTGATCTCATAAGTGAAAAGAATAAGTCACCTGAATCTAAGAATAAAAAAGCTGAAGTGGTTTCCGTAGCTGAACAAAACGGAGATATTTCAATGGACGTAGCAAATTTAGAATCAGCTATCGCCAAACAGGTATGTGGCAATAATAATAATATTGTTATCATTATAACATGAAGAATGTTCGATTTAAGTGTTGTTGCGCGTTTCTTAGGGCAATCTTGTTCGTGAATTGAAAGCTAAAGGAGACAAATCTGTATGGCAACCCGAAGTGGACAAGTTATTAAAATTGAAGAAACAGTTAGTAGATATCACTGGGTCAGTTGCAACTCCGACTGACAAAAAGTCGAAGAAAAAGAAATAAATAAATCGATATCTAATACATTTATATTTCAATCGTAATTTGCATAATAAAAGATCATTATCTGTTCTTTATTACAGTGTATGCGCTCTTAAATTTCATCAATGTCACATTATACTTTCCACAATTAAATAATATAATCCGTGTAGTTTATTTAATAAAATTAATTTATACATTCAACCCATATGAAACTTTATATGTGGTTTCCTTTTCTGAAAATTATTTTGATGAAAAATTATGTTAGTGAAATATTATATGCTTTATGCATTAGTAACGAGCGTTCTTGTTTGTAATTTGTGTGTATTTTCAAGTAGGATAATTTTTCGATCATATTTATCCACCTGAGATTGAAGTCTTATTGTTTCTTCCTGTTTTCTTCGTAATGTGCGAAAAATTATAATCTCTATTAAACAAATAAGAACTGATACAATGATACCGATAACTAAAACGAATATAATCGGTGTTGCTTCACGAATCGTTACACTTGATACATAGCGTTTGTCTTTATTGCAGTAGGGCGTTCTAGAATTCCATCGTATTGATTCTCGCCGTTGAATACCAGCCGTGTACATCCTAATAACTCTATAATTGAATAATGGTTACTTCGATCGTTAAAGAGCGTAATATACAGGGTGTTCCGTAAAGGGTGTAAGAGCCGAAAATGGCAGATAGGGAGGGTCTTCCTGAACAACAATTTCCTTTGGCAAAATGCAGAATGGGGCTTGGTTACCGAGTTATTAACAAAAAACACGGACCAATCAGAGCGCTCGGTCTACGCGGGCTCCGACTCGGGAGCGTTGGCTCCGGCTCGGGATCGGATCCGAGCCAACGCTCCCGAGTCGGAGCCCGTGTAGACCGAGCGCTCTGATTGGTCCGTGTTTTTTGTTAATAACTCGGTAACCAAGCCTCATTCTGCATTTTGCCAAAGGAAATTGTTGTTCAGGAAGACCCTCCCTATCTGCCATTTTCGGCTCTTACACCCTTTACGGAACACCCTGTATTAGTAATTCGCATCCAAATTCTTACCCTATTTTGGATATCTCCTGAAACGGACTGTTGCGTGTTGTCCAAAAAGGTATAAGACTAGGACGTACCAACTGAACTTCTGTTAGTTGACAAATCATCTCTTTATCGAAAACACGTTCTATCAACGGGTAAGCATTCATCGGATCCGCGTGGTATGCATATCCTGGCGTCGTAATTCTTTGTACTCCATCATCCAAAGAAAGAAATTTTTTGTCATTTGGTATAGTATTCCAGTGTTTTGCAAAATATTGAATATCTGGTGCAGTAGACTAAACGTACATTCTTTTTACATGGAGTATGAAGAAGAAAAGTTTATATTCAGATATATGCACGTGAAATTAAAGCTCACCTGCAGTACAATATCGAGGTACACGTTCTTAAACGCTGATAGCTTCAGTTTGCTATTTACTAACGAGTACAATGAATCGTTCATTTTATTTAAAGGAACATTCAACCGACTGGATACTATCGCCGCCGAGTAATAATTATAAACTAACAGGCCAAAGATCATGGTTTGAAGAAATGCAATACGGGTTGCAAATAATTTGTTTAAAAATGGCAAACCTATGCCCCAAGATATCAAGCATAAGTACTTATATCAGACTTGAGTTCTGGTTTTAAATTAATAATTGCGTAGTATACCTTGTTGACATAGTGCAGCGATGGTAATGAAAACAGTTATCCCGTAATCAGGATCAACATCCTTTTCTGGTTCCATAGTTATCCACAGGGTGAAAATGATAATAAGTGTTAATAAAATAATCAAGTACCAAGCATTTGCTGTAAATGGCCTGAAGAGTAGGTTTATGTCTACTTTTATTGCAGGAACAGTACGGAACATAAAGCAAGTTCTGCAAAAGAGAAACATGAAAATTTATAGAGCCATTCCATGCTAAATCAATCACATTTTGTTAAAAATATAGTTCACCCACAGTAAGTGGGGTGTGTTTCATTCATTATTTTTCTGGATTCGAAATGTTTAAGGGAATACAAGCCTTTGAATTTTGTAATCTTTTATCGACCTATTATCTCGGAAACTAATTGATATATCAAGACATCTTTTTTTAAAACTGAAATAGAAACTTCAAGCTAATCGAATGTAATTTTAAGTTGTACATACAATTGTTCATATTCAAAATTGTAAACGAAATATCGTATTACGAGTTTCATTTTAAGAAAACTTTTTTTAAAGTATTACCATATTTCTTAAACTTTCAGTTATAACATAAGCTATCACTCTTTATATGTATAACTGAGTAATTAAGTATGAAATGCGTGCGCGATGCTTAATTTTAAACGACGATCGCAGGCGCCGCGCTATAACTCTTGGCCAATGACACCTTTCTACAATAACTATCAAGAAAACATTGTTTATAGTATGAATTTCTTAAGTTGTGCCTAGTGTTAATAGCTTTTTACCTTAATGGCCAGACTTGAAGTATTACATCAGCATCATCGAGTCTTGAATGTGTTATGATGGATGGGTAGAAAAGTATATCGTAGATACCATTCTTAAGGCCAACAATAAGCGGCCCGTTGGTATCATTGCTCCAGTGTGATACTTCTATGATTTCAAAGCTGTAAGAAAAGAAATAACACGAGATTGAGTATAGTACAACCACCGAGGAAGTATAAGTATCTCTTATCTAATTTAAGTATCTATAATATAAGTAGAGTAGAACTTGGATTACCCGAACAACAATTATATTCAAACTTCGATTGCTCGCTGAAATATTGTGAATATGTATCTACCTGATTCAAACCAAAATATTGTTAATATATATAATATAATTAATATAATTATACTTACATAAATATAAATAATATGATTATTTATGTTAATATACGATGTATATATTCTATACAAGTACCGTCTTATCAGTTAAAAGAAGACGTGAAATACTAACTCGACTACTGGTGGACTGATAACTGAAACAGCAGCATCTTAGGAGATTGGAAAATCAACACTTAGTGAGATAAAAAGTCGAAAATGTGGAATCATGAATTATAAGGACTGATCGCAGTTCACACGGGAAAGTATGAAGTCTTCTATCAATTAAATTCTTCATCTGGTTATGCATGAATGATTTTGTCGAAAAGGAAGTGAAGAGAACTTTTATACATATACATAGCATTAGAGACGGTTATTATAGATGATATAAAGCTCAAACAGAAAATACTCCGGCGGAAGTTGATTATAAATTTTTAAATAAAGAAAACAAACATACGACATATTGAACATTTCTTCAACGTGCATCATGACGGACCATCCGAATTGAGACCAAGTGTCGAAGCGTTTGTTAGTTCTTTCCACCAAGTATTCCCTTACATTTTTGTCTTTTGGCCTATCTATTACCTGCGTAAAGCAACTTATCTTTTTCTTGATTGTTAAATAAATAACTATGTTCATCCGCGCCAAAGTTTTAAAGCCTCTTCACATTATCCGGATTTCACTGTCCGGTTGAAAACACGTTGGCTGCGGACCGGCTGCATATGCATAATGTTTATTTTCTACGATGAAATTGATCACATGCGTATACTCTAGTAATATACAAAAAATTAGTGGTAACAGAAGAAAGGGGCGCAAAACATGAACAGCCGGTACGCATGCAGCATATGTTTTTAACCGGACGGCGGAATCCGGATAATTTGAAAAGACTCTTCACAATCCGATTACTGAAAAATGCAAGGGGCTTTCCGGACAGCATGCTTTTTCCGTAAAAATCGAAACTTGACCTTCATAATATAACCCCTTAAAATAATAGTATGAACAAAAAACCGTGGACGCCACAACACTCTGAATCGTGCATCTTGTATGTATTACGCAGTAATCGGAGTGTAACACTGGCACGCACACCCTATATTGTTACTTACAAAGCCAACAGTTCTTATTTTCATTTTGTGAAAATTCCATCTTCTATGAAATATGTTCGTTTCCAGTACAATCTTTAAACCATCGTCCTTCGTCCAACTACCAAGTTTCGTAACATTTAACAAACCGCCACAACGTTTACAATGATTATACACGTCGTATAAAGTGTAATTATCATCGTCTGATACAGCAATCACGAGATCCGTGATAATACTAAATGTGGTGTCATTCAGGTATTCAATAATGCTGTCCATATTATTTGCCAAGATCAGCCACTGATGTAAATGGTCAAACATTTTATAAACCGAGGCCTAAAGCATATAGTTATTGTTTATCAAATCCACGATGTGAAAACGATATACATGAGCACAAACCTCGTCCAAGAGTTTGATGACGTCCTTATTTGCAATCCAACATTGTAGATCCAAAAAGATGCCCAATTTCGTATATTTAGTATGTAAGAATCGTGAAACATCAGTGGTCGATTTCAGTTGATTTACAGATACTCCAATATCGGCTTCATTAAGAATTTTGGTGATTTGATAGTCGCCTGTGTCAAAATTTTTATTCAATATTGATAATATCTATTATAACAATATTTAATTTATCTTTGTATAAGCACGAAATAAGTGTTAATTTCTCTGTTCACGTATAAATTAATCATCGTTTCTCGAAACGATCGAACATTAAACATAAGGGAGTAAAGAGTACTCACTTTCAACCTCACCACAGGAAAAACCAGCTACCCTGCTAACATTTTTAAAAACAAAATATTCACGAATTATATCTATGCTATTCGCGTATGAGACGACGATCAGTTGTAAGTAGAAAAAATTTCCAAGATTCATTTTTATTACCGTAGCCAGTCCTTGTTCGCGGATGTAAATCGAATGATTGCATGCTAAGCGTTCGTGTTACAGTTCCCAACCCAGGAGGTATTCCTACTTTCATTTTTCATGAGAAAACATGTCAACTTTGACATGATAGTTCTTTAAGAAGTAAGGCAACTGCTGTTAGTTCTGACAACAAGATAATCATATTTTCATTATTTTGGGGTGATTTTATTATATATTATTTAATTTTTTTTTTATTGTAACCTTATATTTATAATATAATACGACACTGAATCTAATAAAAATCCTACACTAATTAAAATTCTATTTTTAATATAAGTAGAAAAGAGTAGAAGACTCATAGATTTATATCTAATAAATTATCTCTACTATTTCCACTGCTAAAACTTCCCCTTATTCCACTTCTCCTGTGACTTCTCTCTCTTCTGTAAATTATTTTTATTTTTATTCCTGATTAACATAGCTTTATTTTTTAACTTAATGAGAATAGCTCACTTGGTTGAACGTCTATGAACAATATTTTCCACGATGCAAATGATTCCAGCTACGAGCATTCCGAAAGCCAAAAGAATTAAAGCTGGCGCGGTTTCATAGATCGTGATGCTTCTCGTTGATAAAGTATCGGGCTGGCATTGCGGTTTCCTCGAAGACCAGTATTTAATCTGCCGATTTCGGAGACCAGTATTGAACATTTTTGTCAATCTGAAAAATAAGCCAATTTTCTATTAGCAACTAATTTAAAAAGATGTGACTGCTTCTCATATATTGAAAGGGGGATTTGAATATTTTCGTTACTCACCCAATCTTTGCAATCTCAGAAAACTGTCCATTATGACTGGTGTACATTCCCATCACCGATTGTTTGAACAAATGAATCTCCGTCAACGCACATATTTTATTCGAGTCGAACATTCTTTCGACATACGGATATGCTGTATTCGGATCAGTGTGATAAGCCAATATACCTTGGCTAACTTGCCTGATACCTTCCTCTATTGGAAGGTACCTTTTCGATTCTGGTAGAGGATCCCACCGTTTCTTGCGGAAGTAGTCCGATTCCCAATTTAATCTCTGCCAATGGCATTTGTTTTATCCAAGAATTACAGTAAAAATAACTAGTTTTATAATAAAAGTATTTATAATAGAGGATGTTCTATAAGAAGCTGCTGAAACCAAGGGACCGTTATCCTTACGCTAGTAGTATACTGTCGTCTTGTATGCTTGTATCATGTCGTCAGTTCTCGTTTCGAATTAATATTTCATTACAAAGCGCGAGGACGGCTCGCAAATTCGATATGTATTATGCTTTTATTTTATTGTTTAAAAAAAGGGTAAAATTTGATATACGTGAATGATAAATATTTTCAATATCAGAACTATATGAATTCATGCGAAAATCAATTTGTTTTATGAAAATTGTAAAGGACTTTATCGCACGATAACTTTGTTTCATAGTTTAAAACATAGTTAAAAATTAACAACCTACCGTAACGTACAGTTAAAACAAAAAAACAATTAATGCAAAGTACAATTAGAACATATGGACCTAAAGACTAAAATAAAATTGTAGAACTTCGCTCGGGGCCCGGAGAATACGGCATATTGGAAACAAGCATTTTTTGGTTTTTGCAACTTCCTATGGAACACAATCTAAAGAATAAGTGCGTTCTAAGAATGAGATACCTACGTATAAGAAATAATTCAGGTAGGGGACAGCTTCCGCTGCAATTTTAAGATTACTATCAGCGAGAACGGTTACAGAATCCTCCATCATGTCCAAAGGTTCGCTCAATCGAGCCGAGACAATACTGGCTGAGTAATAATTGTACATAATCCAGCTGTGAATGGTTATTTGAAATAGCGCGAGACGGCTCGGTATGCATTTTGGCAAAAAATTTGCACCTATTACCATTATAAATAGATTGAGAGCGCAATGTTACAAAAAACTTACTCGTAGGAGCTTGCTACAAACCTTGCTGAGACAATATTCCTACCGCTAGCACCACTGCCCCAGAATATTTTTCGTATACATTTTCACGATTCATTATCACTTTCATGATGAATATAGAGAATATCCCGAAAACCATGAACACGTACCACGTTCCCCGTGTAAAGGGTTTTAAAAAAATTTCTAATTTGATTTTAGTGGTCGAAGTTGATAAGAGCATGAAACACGGCCTATAATTATGATCACACGTTATATTTAATTGTTCAAATAGTATTTATATATTTATTATAAATTACAGATTTACAATGAGTTTCACCTGATTGGCCAGGCTGCACCTATTAAAGAGGCATAATCTAATCGCTCGGATACCATGATTCTCGGATTACTGGCAAAATCGATATAATTTGATCGCAGGAATTCGAATATTAAACCATGAACACTGTGTCTATCCCAGTAAATGATTTCCGAAGCGTGAACGCTTGAGAACAACGAAATTCTTATTGTAATAAACACCAAAATAATCGTTCACTGTTTACCTGAAATTGAACAGATCTCCCGTATGCAAAATCATAGCGTGCACAAATTTGTGCATACTATCTAAAGATCTGGTATTTATGTCCTGCATGTAATCCTCGAGACGCATGTTCTTCGGCCTGTATTGAATCTAAGTAAAATGCCATTTAAGTTGATAACTGTCAATGTTATAAAGGATAATTGACAACTCACCACACCAGATATTTTCAGCCTAATCCCGTGCATGTTAGCTCTTCTGTTAATTATAGGCTGCGTTAGAAATATCTTCAATCCAGAATTCGGTTGCCAAACGCCGAGCCTTGTAACGTTTAATGCGCCACCGCGATATTTACAATGATTAAAAACATCGTACAAATCATAGTCACTTTTATTTGATATAGCGACAGAAACATCGGTTACTATGTTGTAAGCAGTGTCGTTCAAAAGCGAGATACTGTGATTGTAATTAGAGCCTAATATCAGCCAATTGTACGAATAATCGTACATACGATATTTCGAGCTCTGAGTTTAAAGAAAGAAACGATAAAAATTGGCATTCAGTTTTTACTATCGTGTAAGAGGAAACAGCTTGCCTTACTTCAGAAAAAATTCGAACAGCAGTTTCGTTGTGGCAACGCAAATCGATGACGACACCTACTCTCCAGTTCTCGCTCCTCATGAATCTACGGAAGTCGACTTTTACGCTGGGCTCCCTTATTATCGTAAATACGCCTATGGTACTTAGGCTTCTCAGAAGACTAAAATCACCTGTAAGTTGAACTTGATTGAAAAACAATGTTCTGGCCAATAGTAAAACAATTACACCTACCTATAGTATCGCCACAGGAGAATCCCACGACATTTCGTATCTGCTTGTACACGAAATAATCGCGAATGAATAAGTGATCATGTGCACTTGATGTTAAAATAAATGACACAAGAATAACGAAAAAGATGTGCATTATGTTTTCTCGAACCGCCAAATAGTCTTCTTTTTATTATTTCACTGTTCCAAGTCGCATTCACTGACAAGGTCATTAACGACTACAGTGATTATATATATTAATAACGTTATCGTAAGTCAAATATACATAAAATACGGTCTATGATAAGTGAAAACCATAAATTTATTCACGAATTACACGTTTTTAAAAATAACTTAATCGATCAGCATCCGGTTGAACTCGGTCCCTATTCTATGCTGGTGTCGATTTGCGATAAATGTTTTCTACAATCAAATCGAACTCTGGTCACGCTGTTCCCTTCCATTATATTAAATATGTTTTATTCAATTCCTCATGCATCGAATGCAAGAAGCATCAAATTTCGTATTCCGACACGAGCGACAGGCAAACGTCAAACGAATTGGAGCAATTTGACAAATTGCCCGAGTCACGAGAAGGTTTCGGAGGGGTTCGATTAATTATTCATTCGAAATATGTCGCTTCCGGCACGACATTTTCGCAAGGAAGTTTACGATATACGAATACTCCAAACGTTACGCATTTATTGTATTATTACTGTCGATCTTTCTCTCATTTTATTAATTTTCCAAGCTTCCCTGAAATGTAAACTTCGCGATCAATTATTAACAGTATTGGTATAGGTGGAAAAATTAATTACGCGATTGAAAATAATCGCGAACGGGCTGACGATTCTCTGGAAATCAGTAGTCAATATCACTAATTAACCCGACCAGCGCGAGAGACAGCAGTATTTTATTTTTGAGAGCTCACAGCATGACAAATCATTGGCCAGAGTTCATCGCATTTAATTCAGGGTGATGCGCGTGCAAAATACCGAGGATAATTAATTAATCTAATTGGTGCAACCAGGTGATTGTCAAATCAAATTTCTAACGATTATGTTATAAAAGGGTAAAGTTATAGTGATGTAAGTCTATTAAAGCTAATTTTGAGAAATAAACATTTTACTGCAGGTGCTATAATAAATTCTTAAAGCAGACAATAATAATTGACTGTAATTAAAAACGCTGATAAGAGTGACTTACTACAATGAATGGTAATGATAATATATCCTCTTGCTTCGATTAGCAGTGGTTCTAAGTGATCTTTGCGTAGCTAATGGATCTTTAGTTAACTTTGGAGAGCAGAAAATGAAAGCAAGTAGGGAGATGAGTTAGAAGTTACTTCAACGTTTCTTTTAACGTATCACCATTTGTAATTGATTAAAATAATGCAATCACAATTGGGTCGAAAAGTGACTTACATCACTATTGCGTTTACCCTTTAATATAATATTGAAGTGTTCGGAAATTTGAAATTATGTTCATTCGCGTAGAACGTTGAAAATTTTCAAATCCTGCAAATTCACATCTCGTAGTGATGGTAGATGTAGTGTCGTATCGATGAACCGACTCGTTTTCGTCATTGGACTGAAATTTCTGAAAAAAATAATTTACACCGTTTTACTTAATATTCATGCAGTGTCGCATGTAAGAAATATAATAATTCTTAAATGAAATCACTTGTTAATTCACCTTGCCGAAAAGAAGTAAAATATAATATTCTCAATTATGCAAATGAGAATCGACAGGATCACAGACATGCATAAGAATATAAAGACAGGTGCAGCTTCGTGAATCGATAAGGGTTCGGCGATAAGCAAGTTGCTTGGACAAAAGGGTCTTCTAGCCGCCCATCGCTTCAGTTCGCGGTTTTGAATGCCAACGTCACGAATTTTAATCATACTAAAAAACAAGAGGTTGTATGAAGAACCGGCTAAATCCTGAGCATCTTCAGTAAAGTCATAAAAAAGCACAACAAGAAGATTAATACTCTTCTGGATAATTTAATTTGTACTGGGAAGAATTCATACCCTACTTTCATCAGTTCAGTGAAAGGACTTCTGTGTCTCGCGTAGAATGCCAGAATGCCACGGAACAAGTGAACCTCCGTGAGTTCGCAAATACTTCGGTAATTGAATGAATGCTCGATGTACGGATAAGCGGAATCGATCATCGAGTGATAAGCCAAATGTCCCTCGGCCACGCGGTTAAATCCTTCTTCCAGTGGTAGATATTTCTGCGATTCCGGTATTTTCGACCAACGATGGTCGTAGAAATATCTCACTTCTTTATCCGGGACCTATTAAATTTCACTCCCTTTCTAAAATCGTGTTCCATAATTTTTATTTACGGTAGGACCTCCAATAACAACATTCTTGACGACATAGAACAGTGGTGGTCGAACTTTATTATAACATGAGCCATATTTCGTCTATAAGAAATACTGCAGACCGGAATTTTAAAAAATTCGGTGCAATTGGATCGGGATTTATACAGTCAGATTATTTCGTAATCATAGAAAATATAGACATTTGATTGATTAAAATTGAATGGTTCGAGGGGGGAAGTATCTTGGCGTGAACAATTTTTTTTTACATTATTATTATTTTAAGAGATGTGTTTTATATCATCATATTACGTTGAAGTAGATTCTGCCCGTTTCAGAAGATCAGAAGAGATGTCCGTATGGAATGGGTACTCAAAATGTTCATATAGGAGTTTCTACTCTAGTTTTATTTTCACTTTACTGAGAGCTACAATTACCTGAAGAAAGGAACGGATGTAGGGTGTGGGTTCCACTGCAAGTTTCATGTTACTATGAGCCAAGCTAATCAACGAATCGTTCATTTTCTCGGCCTTGTTTTTCAAACGATTCGATACTACACTGGCTGAGTAATAATTCAAAATTACTATGCTGCAAAGCAAAATTTGTAGAAACGCGATGCGACTTGCGCAACGAGATGGGACAAACGCAGAACCTAAATAAAACCATCCGGATTGTTAATAATTGACAAATCCTTTCTTTTCGAAATAATCCAGTACCTTGTTGCGATAAGGCGCCTACTGTGAGCAGAACGGAGAGACCGTAAATTTCAGCGGGATTGCGAATGTTTTCCAGTCGTAGAAATATAATTAAAATCGCTGTTACGATTGCTATCATAGCGAGTATCACGTACCAGACTTTTCTCGACAATGGTTGTAAAAACTGACTTGGTTTTATGGTAGTCGATGATATCGTGCGAAACATGAAACACGATCTGTAATCATGATGGGAATAATAACCGAATCGTTAGTACATCATTTCTTGACATCAAAATTTTAAGTATAAAGGAATAGATGAGAATAGACTGATAATGCTGATAGACAGTAAGTAACATACCGTATTGGCCAGACAGGAGCTATTATGTCTCCGTTATTCAATCTCTCGATTTTCATCGTAGCCGGACTTGTCGAGAGATCTATCTGCTTCCTTCTAAAAGCAGCGAAAACGGGACCAGAATTGTCGAATCTCCTTTGCGCGTTTATTTGCGTAATGTCTATGCTACAAAGCGTACATCAGTCAATAACCGATACTATACGACGATAAACATTAATGATTAAAATACATGAGCCAATAGTTGCGTATACGGTTAAACGCTTATTACAACTACTGATTAATTAAATATAATTATATTAATGTTTACGTGAAATTGAACATGTCAGCCAAGTGTTGTAAGAGTACGTATAAATATTTCGACCGGCCATACTTTGATTTCATATTATATTCTTGCATCGTATCATGTAACGACATGTTTTCAGATAAACTGATCTGAAAATTCCAAAATATGTCTTAAAGTTACCTTATTTATTGTTAATAAATTAATGTAAATGCTGTCTTTAATTTTTATTTTATTCATCGTTCATAATTAGATTTTGTGACGTTTTTCAAAACATGATTCATCCCAGAATTATTCTACGTATTTGTGCATTTCTAAGGAGTAAAGAACATACAAATTCTAAAGCATGTTGTTCTATTTCGCGTCACTATTAAACATTTACTGAAGTAAATAGTTAAGGATGTATTGGCTATACAGTCAATCCCAAAAGTTTATGCACTTTAGAAACACATTTTTTAAAAAGAAATCAGACGTCGGAAGAACAATGCTAATAATAAACAACAACAAAAAATTTTTTTCGAGATTTTTCCCTTTAGATTTGGCAAAATTTTCGTTTTTTGCCAATAACTCCTAAACCGTTGGACTTACGGGAAAATTGTATACGACCTTTCTTGTAG